TTGAATGGAAATAATAAAAGTTTACTATTTGTGAAAGCTTTGAAGCTTTTAAAATGAAAGATACTGATTCTAGTTTATTAATTGTGACAGCTTTATGATTTTTTGAAAGCTCCGAGGCTTTTGAGATAATAGGTAATGATAAATGTTTGCTATTCGTGAAGCTTTAAGAGTTTCTATAGAGCTTTGCAGCCTTTTGGTGGAAATATAATGCTGAAAGTTTTCCAAATTTACAATACTGTCAAATGGAACTACTGAAATTTTGAAAACTAAAAATTGCTTAAGTCATATAAAGCCGAAAGCTTACTAATAAGCTTAGGTTTGTTTTTAAAAATATATTTAATGAAATTTTTATTTTCACCTTTTCACTACTTCTTACATTCAAACGTTTATAGTATATCCGCTCATTCATTTGCCATTGAAACCTATACAAATTATGTGCAAAATAACCATCACAATGTGACACGTGAAAGCTACCAGGCGTAGCAAATTTTTATGAATGGTAAATTGTGAATTGAAGTGAGCTCCGTAAGTACTCCTACCCGAGTTAACGAGAAACTTCCACTAACAACGCAGCGGCTCAATGGTTTCCAATGGCTTTCTTTATTGTTCCGCAAAGCTCTTACGACAAGTTTTTACGACAAATGTTATTATTGCCTTTATTGCTGCTGCCACGGTGATATTATAACTTTTAACCAAATTCTTTTGTATAGACCATAACTTCTAACCTTTTCCCGTATGCAGCCTTGAAAGCTTTTACATGCTTTATTTGTGCGCAAAAGCTCACTGCACGCATTCTGAAGTTTTGAGTTCAATAACACTTTCGCTCTCTATTTACAACTGAACCCGTGACGCTCTCTTTTTTCTCTCCCAAGCTCTGATTTATGCCACAACTGTTGATAGACGCTCTCTCCTGTGCTCAGCAACCCATTCCACCGTTATTTAGTGCGCGAAAACTTAACGAATGATTATTTTGACATTTTTCTCTTTAGCTGTTATTGTTCTTGCTTTTGTTGACGTTGTCACATTGGAGTATGGCTAAATATGTGGTGGTAGGTTAGTGTTTACACTTCCTGCCTAACGGTAATAGACACATTCATATGCTCACTCACACATACGCTCATATGTATGAAGTTCTATCTGGAGACATATTTATATAAGTCTCACCTAATTGTACTGTCTGCTGTAGGCTCTTTGATTACGCAGCTTAACAAGTGGCAAAGCACAATTTGAAGCGCCGAAGCGAATTTTTAATGCCGAGTAGAGAGGTCAGTGCTGCTGGAAAGAGTAATGTGTGTTGATGCGTGTCAGACCGGCATAATGTGTTTAATTCGATATGAAAAAGGCTCAGTAGGCTACAAAGAACTGCTATAACAAAGAAATGTAGATATTTAAGACTCCTTTATTAGAAAATTACTCCGTTTCTGGCTTTAAAAACACCTGCTTCACCGGAGCTTCACGGATCTTTGAGAGAAAAGCGCTCCGGTTTTCTGGCTTTAGACGATTCTTGGATACTTGCTTCACAACCATAGCCGTCAAGGAAAAACTTTATAGCAAACCGTGCCAATTTTCAAGAAGAAGAAGCTTGGACACCTGGTTCACATCGATAGCTTCTCTATCCATCCTCGTTTTTGTCACTTTTTACTTAAAATCTCAGCTGAAATATCTCGTGTTGACGCTACTGAGAAGATAGCCCCATTTTGAGAGATCAGTCTGCTACCAACTAGGCTGTTACCTCTGGTTGATGCCAATCGTTTTTACGTTCTTAACTCACCCAAATCACGTGCTTGGGATTGTTTGTCTCTGTGCCTTTTTGTTTTTAAAAATTTATGAGTTCTGATTGAGCCTCTAGAGTTCTAACCTCCTTTTGGCTTCTTTTAGTTTCTTCTTCTCCGAAAACTAACAAAATTAGTAGTGGTACACCCCTGTCCTCGGGGAATTATTGAGTTTCGTCTAAGCTTCCAGAATTTTAGGCACTTTTTTGGGTCTTTCTCGGTCCTGTCCTCTGAGCTCAGATCTCTGTGACCGACTTGGCTTCAATTCTAACCTCCACCTAACTCAGATCAGCTACAATATATTATTTTTTATATATTTTGTCAAGGCTGAGTTCCTTGAAATGGATTCGGACGAGTGTTTGACGCTGGGATTCGAAGATGATAAAACTGCAACAAATACACGGCTCACGAGTTGCAATATTGTACGATGGTTTGTTGTTTTTGTTCTTTTTCCATTGTTACAGTTTTGACCAAATATATGTACTTCCAAGCCTCGTTTGGGCGAATCTTTGGGGGATAAATTACGCTGTTTTCTCTTGTAGTCCGAACCTGAAGAAATAACAAAGCTTTATGCCATTCCCACAATAGTTGGGTCTACGTTTACGGAACGGACTTGATTTTTTATTCGGTCAACTAGACAGAAGGCTAGCGCTCCAACAACAAAACAACATAAAGCTTTTCTGGCTCTTAAGGCTCTTAAAAAGGGATCGACTAAGAATTTTGTGGTTATAGCGACATAAAATAATCCTCAGCTCTTGGCCGATTATAAAATCGTATCCAGGCTAATTATGGAGACTCAGATATCGTGGAAATATTCGTTCGCAGTGTTAACGGTGTGTTGGTACGCCACTCTAACTCTAACCGACAACGGTAGTCTTGATAATTCTTTTAGGACAGACCTTTTACCGTCTCTTGACTTAGGCTGGCATGGAAATTTGACTAAAAGATCGGTAACTTCAACTAAGTCTTCAAAAATCTCAAGCCAACGCCTGCGGGTGTGCAACAATTTCTGTGGAACGGCTTTACTTCCACACATTGAAGGATTTCCTGTTGAAAATTTCATTAACGCCTGCACCCTTGCTCCTTTCCGCCATTTTACTCCTTCGCTACACATCAACTCAGCCGCTAAAGCATCACAACCGCCATTTCGGCTATCAATTTCACATTGCCCACATTTACAGTTACTCACACACAAGTACGAGATATACCACCTGCTATCGCCAAGCACACGGGGGCTGATGCATTTCCGTTGCTTTATTGACGCCACAGACAATGAATTCGCTGCTGCGCCGGCGAAATGCCAAAAAATGAAAGAACAAAAGCACAGGAAAAGGAAGAGGAAACATGGATAACAAGAATTTGCCGACCGCAACAGTAACTGCTGGGGCAATGCATTGTGTGGGCGAAGAAATGCCAGCGTGAAGCGAGCGAACGTGGTGAAATGCAATGAGGCGTAGCATGGCAATGACAATGCCAAGTGAAACGCAGCGGTGTAGTGGTGAAGTGACTACAAGCGTGTATACATGAGTACGTGTGTATGTGTTTGTGTGCTAATGAGGACATTCGTGCTTACAATTTCATTTATTGGTGCTTTTATGGGCATTGGGCAACGCGGAAATACACGCGCAGCTATGAAAGTGCTGTGTGCGCTGCACCGCAACCTTGAAATGCCACTAGGGCTCATAGTACACCCGCATGCCAGCGCACAAGCATATAAAGAGCGCATTACAAACGCACACCATATTCAATGTAACGTCACATTAGCGTTTTATTTGCAATTAGCCATCAGCAGTTTACACCACATAAGCTTGCCGACTGCATTGACCATTACACATGCATTCAAATGGCTTCGTTAATGAACTGCAGGGCTTAAAAACGTTTTGATTCAGTCAGTTTGTTAGCTAATGTTCACTGTCCAGACCGGATGTATATTGATCAATGTTATACTAATGTGAATATTTGTGGCCGTAGGTGTATGACATGTGGGGCATGCATACATAAATACCTACACATGTATGTATTTGAAGCAGCGCTCGGATGAGCATAAAAATATATTTTATTGTGGGTAATTGCGTATATTTCATTAATTAAATTCACAACAGCGGAAAATCACATTTATAATGGATTAACTGGTGCGATTTTTCTGAGACTTTGATTTTAAACCAGCGCTTCAGTAAAAATCTTCAGCGGCACAGTGGCGAAAATATATAGTCCCAACTGTACACAACACAGATACATGTTATATATGTACTTTTCAGCGTTTATACAAATATATAGTACTATTTTTACACCGTTTAACTTCCAAATTTCACATACATATTTGTTTATAAAACAGTAATTCACCGGCAGCACACTGAAGCTCTAACACTTGCAAAGCACTTGCGACCTTATATTAAATATTATTATATATATAGTGCTAACTACACATATTCACACACAAAAGTTATAAATAATCTGTCACGCCGGCTTTTACCATAAAGATATAATCAATTATCATCTCACAAATATCATATTTACCTACAGCAAACATAAATTTAAACACCGGAAATTTATGACACACTTTATTATATTTAAAAAGAACAGCATTTATTTAGGATGAACTTTCTACAAAGATTAAAACACTATAAACAAACGTCTAAGCGCTGCGTATCCTTTTGCGTTCGCGGTAGATGCACTCCTTTTGAACTGCAAGTATAAGTAACTTCAAAATCACGAACTACATAAAAACTAAAATAAAACATTTACTTACTATATGGATCGAAACGCAGCAATTCCAGTTTATCTGCTAAACGATCACGGAACATATTAAACTGATGACCACTAACCACACTCTCCATCAGCACCATGATGCGTCTGCAGTAAATAAAAAGTGTTAATTACTAGATTACAGCTAAAGCAATTGCAGCAATTACTTACTTGCTTTTCACTTTTTTAAATAAGACCTCAGTTAAACGCATTTTCGCTCTATATCTGTTATAATTTTAAGTAAATTCTATTATAATAAGAAAATTGTGCAATTATAGCGAAAATGTAGTGTCCGATTGTCAAAAACAGCTGTGTGCTTTTCATGCGTACTGTACACAACATGCAAACAGCTGTTGGCGACAGAATGCAAAGTTACCATAAAAGAACTTTAACGGCGTCAAAATATTGCGGCTTTTTTCCAATTGTTTTGAAACTAGAAATAAGCCGTTAATTTTATGGTCCAAAGAGTTCTTAGTGGCGTTGGGCGAAATAGTTTCGTTGCAACGACACTGAAGTAAACTTTAATTTTATGTAAATCGACAAAAAATTAATTACATTAAAAAAATAACATTACTATGCCCGTACCCACATGTTCAGGGGGCTCGTGCACAGTTTCGAGACCAAAAAAATCCACAACAACTAAGTCTAAACCAAAATCGACAACCACAAGCGCCAAGAAGACTACCACTAAAAAGACTACGGCCAAGAAATCGACAACCAAACCTAAGACCACCACAACAAAGGCCAAATCAGCAGCTAGTAAGACGAAGAAATCGACAACAACGACAAGGAAGTCAACAACTGGAGCAAAGTCGAAAACAGCAGCGCGGAAAAAGACAACGACACGCCGACGGGACGACAGTTATTGTGATTGTTCTTATTGTTGTGAAAGTTCAACAGATTCTAACAGTGATTATTCTGATTATTCTGACTCTACAGATAGCTGTAGTTCCGGTGATTGTTACTAATATTGACGAGCGAAACATCGAGCTGCTGCGAAAAATACTTTTAATGATACTGGTTTAGATGGAAGATGGATGACTCTGGGGCCTATATTTATGTTTTAGTAATCTAAGTTTTGTCATAAAAAATGTTGATATATTTGTATTGAAAATGTAACACTTGATGTGAGTTTCATAAAAATAAAGTGCCCTCGGGTGCAAAAATATACATTTGTCTCTTTCGAAATAAGTAAAATTGATTAAAATTCGGTAAAAGAATTTAGGTTTATGCGTTTATTTTGGAATAGTAAAATTTCAAGATTTTTAAATTATAACGATTTTTTTTTTGTTTTATTCTCCCTTAAGAAAATGGATTTTTTATCTAACTCAGTTTAGTCTCATTAGATAAGAGAATAATATATTTCTCCGATGAGTCGAATTACATTTTTAAATGTCAAAGTGAAACCCGTTACCTAAAATACAACCATGTTGTCAGAGAAATTGAAATTTCCGCGCGAAAAAAGTTAAAATTTGTCAAATGAAAACCAATCCGTTATACGTGGAAAGGTTTAGTGCAATTAGTGCTTTGCATACGTAACGAAAGGGAAGCTAGAAGATTGTATTTGAAAATGCCTGTACCAGAGTTAGCTAAATCGAAAAAGAAGGTAGCAACCGCTAATATAATCAAAGAGGAGCAAGTCGATTCCTTAGCGGAAGAGCTGCTGGGCGGCAACAAAAAACTAACCAAGGCACAACAACACAAAAAACGTGATTTGGAAGCTTATTTGGTGCAGAAGCTGCAGCAATACGATGAGGAGGACGAAGACACAGTAAGCACTAAATCGTCAGGCACTGAAGATTCTGCATCTGATAGCGAGTCGGAAAGCAGTTGCGATTGTGAGGACTACTCTGGATCTGACAGTGAGAATGATTGCGCAACAGATAGCTCGGACGAGTCGGAATCAGACAGCGACGCGTACTCTGACTCGGACTCTGAATCTGGTAGTTCTGCTGATGATACAGGATCCAGCAGTGATGATAGTTGCAGCGATTCGGATAGCGAGTGTAATTGTAGCAAGCGCTCCGATCAGTTCACCGATGAATATACAATAAATAGCTATAGTGATGAATCTGATTATTCCTAACAAAAACAACTAACTAAAAATATGTAAAAGTTTTAATTTTCTTATTGAATTTTAATTATTAAATGTGTAAATTGTTTGTTTAGTAATCTTTAATTGTAAATTTTTTGACATTTGTTAAATTATGTACTTATATAAATAAAAATAATTTTCAAAACCTCTGAATTTAAAACGTAGATTCTAAAAATTCTTTTTTGAGCCACATGAAGTGATATGCAACCCTGTATGTGTTGTTTTCTGATTAGCCGGTCTGGTTACTTTTCCATGCGTACTGTACTCGCACGTGCAACAATTTGTTAATATTCTAATTGCGAACAAAATTGCACGCTGTTATTTTTAATAAAATTATTTAATTATTGAAGTTTATTACGAGTGAATAGTGTTTCTAAAATGGCGGAACCTATTTCTGCATTTGCGGCTTATCGTTCTGTACTTTCAAAGAATGGTAATACGTCCAAGAAAGGTAAAAACAAGCAAACCGCTGGTGCCAGCAAAAAAACCGGTGTGAACAAAAAGAATGAGGCAAAAAATAAGTCCCTGCAAAAGAATACATCAGAGAAAACAACAAAAAGTCAAAACATCGCAAACCCGAACATTGCGGTTAAAGAAAAAGTGGTTGCTCCCGTCAAGGCTAAGGAAGTTGTTAACAACAAATCTGCACCAAAAGTTGAGCCTTCAAAAAACAAAGCAACCAATAAGAAAGCTGCAGCCAAAACTGAGCCGCCTGCGAAACAAAAACAAAAAGTGCAGCCTGCAGCCACCAACGGTAAAGTAGAGTCTAACGGCATTAACGAAAATGAAATTGACAACTTGGTGGAGCAATTGCTAGGAGATTCACCTTCCAAACCAAAGAAGTTGACGAAAGCACAACAAAAGAAGAAGCAAGAATTGGAGGATTACCTGGCAAAGCAGTTGGAGAGGGACGATGAAGCGGCGGGTGAGGAAGAATATGATTCAGAAACTGGTGGCGAGGAAGATTACAGCAGCGGTTCGGATGAATTCTCTGATGAGTATACCATAAACAGTTATAGCGACGAGGAAGAAGAGGAATGCGAAGAGGAGGAAACTGGTGTCAGCGTTGATGATTGCTCTAGTGAAAGTGATGTTGAGAAACAGCCCATTGCCACATCTACTAAAAACAATGTGCCACAAAAGCGTAAAGGTAATGCGGTAGCCATTACCGCTGCTACTGAACCAAAGAAATCCCGTCAAGCTGAAAAACCAGTTGATAAACGTAAATCAATGCCAACTGCAATAACAACAACAGCTGACAAAGTTACAAAGGCAACAGAGAAGCGTAGGCATTCAATAGCTGAAAGTGAAGCAACCGTAAGCGCCAAAGTTGATGTAAAGACCGTAGATGCAAAAGCTATAAAAATGGAACCCCTATCACCGCCAAACAACATCGTCAAAATGAATAGCATACAAGAGGGTGAGAAGGTGTTCGGCTGGCTGCTTAGTCCACTAAACCTTAAGGAATTCTTCAGCAAGTATTGGGAAACCGGCGCCTGTTTGGTCAAACGCAAGGGCTCTAATTACTACTCGAAATTAATGTCATTCGAGGCTATTGATCAAATGTTAATTAATAATCATGTGGAGTTCACAAAAAATATCGATATCACTTCTTATAAAAATGGTGAGTTACATACAAAAATATTTACTTGTAAGTAATAGCAACTTTTTTCACTACACCAAAGGTGTACGTGAGACGCTCAATCCCGTTGGACGCGCCATGCCGCCCGTCGTGTGGGATCACTATGGACAAGGTTGCAGTGTGCGCCTACTGAATCCGCACACCTTCTTGCCGGATCTATTTAAGCTAAACACAACCTTGCAGGAGTACTTCCACTGTCTGGTGGGTGCCAATGCCTACCTCACGCCACCCAACAGTCAAGGTTTCGCACCGCATTACGACGATATAGAGGCTTTTGTGTTGCAAATTGAGGGCCGCAAACGCTGGCGTCTTTACAAGCCACGCAGCCAGGCAGAACAGCTGCCACGTTTTTCTTCGAAAAATTTCACGCAACAAGAAATCGGTCAACCCATATTCGATGAGGTATTTGTTTGCATATAAAGATTTCATTTTTAGTTTGCGTTTTACTACAATTAAACACTTTTAGGTGCTTGAACCCGGCGATCTGCTTTACTTCCCACGCGGCACCATACATCAAGCCATCACCGAACCCGGCTACCACTCGCTGCACATCACTTTGAGCGTATATCAGAAGCAATCATACGCCGATCTCTTTGAACGCATGATACCTTTGGTGCTCCAGCGCGCCATCGAAAGCAATCTCGATATGCGTCGCGGGCTACCGCTACACACTTTCCAGCATGCTGGTATTGCCTACAGCGACAATGACACCACAGAGCGCGCCGATCTGCTGCGCAAAGTAACGAAGCTGATGGGTCAGTGTTTGCATAGCGCGCAGCTGGGCGAGATGATGGACGCCGCTGTGGATCAGCTGGCTAAGAAGTATCAGCACGAAGCGCTGCCACCGCATGTGTTGCCGGGCGAGCGCGCACGCACCATTTTCGGTTCGCGCAGCACCACCAATGATCAAGGCGAATGCATGTGTGACTATGAAATCGATGAGCTCACCAATGTGCGACTGCTACGCGCCAATATCATGCGACTGGTGCAGGAGGAGGATAAAGTGCGCATCTACTACTATGTGGATAACTCTAAGGAGTACTGTGAGTATGAGCCAAATTTCATTGAAATCGAGCCGGAGGAGGCGGCCAGCGTGGAAGTGCTAATACGCTCATACCCCCAGTATGTGGGCGTGTCGCAGCTGCCGCTGGAAGATGATGAGCGCAAGGTGCAAATGGTGACGGCGCTGTGGGAGCGTGGTTTGCTAATGACTGAGAAGCCTTTCAAATGATACATCATACCTATACATGCGTACTTAATTATAGTGCTTATCTTAAAAGGAGTAGTCAATGTGAATATATTGCTAGTTTTTTGTTTTTGTTTTACTTATTCGAAACGATTTTTATGAAAAATTGTTTTGTAATAGGCGCCTATGAAATTTTGTGTTTTATTTCGAGTTTTGAACTGTGCTATTGTTGCTTTCAGCAAACCGTTAAGTGATATGTAGCTTTGCCAATTTGAATAAAAGTGAAAAAAAAAAAATTTAAATGTGCGTTTTATTAAAAAATTTGTGAATTTTTATAATTTGGATAACTTTTGATATTATACTTTTCAGTCTCAAGTTTCTTTCCAATAACATGTGTTTTTGCATAAAGAAATGTACTGAACATTTTATTTTTGCTCAATAATAGATTTTATAGCAAAAATTTGTATTTGTATTTCTATTTTTTTATTTATTTTATTTTTTTTTATTTTTTTTTTATTTATTCTATTTTTTATTTTTTATTTCATTTTCTTCGGTTTTTTATTTTGTTCTTCGTTTTTTTTTTATTTTTACATTTTTTTAATTTCTTTTTTATTTTTTAAACTATTTTTTGTCAGTGAAATATTGAACTTTGAATATTTTAACGCTTAATAAACAAATATAATCACAGCTGTGCATGAGATAATTTCAAAGGGTGATGTGTGCGCCATCTGTTGGTCATGTTTATGATCCTGATGTGAATGTCAAGATAGAAGCTTATCAATTGGTCGTTCTTAATTTCCGCCGCCATTTCGAACATTCGTTTCCTTTACAGCGCATTCGTGTAAGTGGCATTTGCAGCGGCTCGGTGAAAAGTGAAATTAGTTTAGGAATTAAAGCTGCAATTAAGGACTTTTTAATAGAATTCGGTTGAAGTTCGTCAATTTAATAGTTTTAAAGTAAAAAAAGTAATCGGGCGTTGTTATTTGTGTTGTAAAAGTGATAGTGAAAATTAGTGAGTGCAAAAGCAGAGCGCTGAGCGTCGGCGCAAGCAGAGCTCTGCCAGTTGTCGTGCACGAAATGTTATGTTAAAGTTAATTGTGTTATGTTAATGTAA